AGGATTTAGGGTTTAGGGTTTAGGGCTTTGGGTGCAGGGTTTAGGGTTTAGGGTTTAGGGCTTAGGGCTTAGGGTGCAGGGCTTAGGGTTTAGGGTTTAGGGCTTAGGGTTTAGGGCTTAGGGCTTAGGGGCTTGGGGCTTAGGTTTTAGGGTAGTGTAACCGGTGCAACAATTTCAATACCCCTTGTGGTAGCCCTTATGGATAGGAATGCACATCGTAGCCGCCACAAAACCCAAACCGTAAATGCCCCACCACTCAGCCTTTGTAGAACCCTGCTGGAGCCCGGTATGAAGGGGCGTTCATCAACAAATTAAGTTTCGGGGCATAGTGTAGTACAGATATGTGTGGACTATAAAGAGATCGTATGTCTACTTCTTCCGACCTCAAACCCGATAAGCCATTGTAAATCCACACCCTAAACTGTATAGAACCCTACACAAGACCCCCGAACCCTGCCCGCAACCCTAAACCCCTAGACCCTAAACCCTAAACCTGAAGCCCAAAACCCTAAAACCCTAGACCCTAAACCCTAAACCTGAAGCCCGAAAAACCCTCAAACCCCAAACGCTCAACTTAAGCCCCTGAACCCTGAATCCGAAGCCCGACAGCGCCTTGTTGGCTGCCAGCTCGGAGAGCAGTGCGGCTTTCAGGTCGCCGTCGAGCATCCTCGCGGTTTAGGGTTTAGGGTTTAGAATGTAAGGTTTAGGGTTTAGAATTTAGGGTTTAGGGTTAAGGGTTTAGGGTTTAGGGTTCAGGGTTTAGGGCTCAGGGTTTATAAGGGCCCACTTGGAGGGTCATGGGACTTAGTAAGTAAGGTTAGAAGTACCTGAATCCCAGAGAACCCAATGCCCCTGAATTAAGGAATATACCTTAAATCATAATATTATGGCCCCTATAATTTAAGGTATATCCCTTAATTAAGGAGTATTGGGTTCTCTGGGTAATTCGGGCTTTCAGTAGTTATGACTGCAGTTACCTTTCTGGTAACCCTAATTACTAAGTCCCAGGATCCTTCAAGAAGGGTCGAGGGGTCTTTTTGGTAGTTCCTTTAAGGGATACTACAGTGGTTCTGTACTAATGGTGTACGGTTCAGGCTTTAGGGCTTGGGGATTCAGAGTGAAGGGTACTGGGGACTTCATTATAACAACAGGGGTTTAGGGTTTCGGGCTTAGGATTTACATTATATTGCGCTGTCATAAGACTAAGAAACACCAAGGAACAGTATTGGTACTCACTTTACTAGTACTTATAATTGTGGTTGGTGTTGTTGTAGCTGCTACTACTCTTACTGTTATGATTATTACTACTACTGCTACGATCATGACCATTGTTACGATTTCTACTATTATTACTCGTATGAGCATTACTACGATTATTAGCATGAGAAGGACAACGGTGTTCAGCTTTAGAATGGATGGCTTCGGGATTGGGGGTTTGGGGGATTAGCAGTTTATGGCTTAGGGTTTAGTTCTGTGGAGCCGCTTGACTTCAAGACCTTTCTGCCCAAGCGTCATCAAGACCTTGTCGGCGAACTCCACGACGATGACCTGCACATCTCTAACTGGGTTGCTCTTTATTACCTTGCTAAAATTTCAACTTTTAGTACCCCGAATATCAAGAAGGCTAATCCTAAAAGTGATAAAGCTATAAAGTGACTGTAAAGTTCAACCAAGCTAAGAACGGCTTCCGGCTTAGGCTTAAGCTGTTGCACAGCAAGTGGGATCCAGGGCCAAGCTCACAAGCATTGAATACCCGAAAGACCCACAAGGCGCAGACCACCAGAAGCTGTAAGCACCCTTGGCCACCAGGCCCTAAACCCTTCGCAATAAACAGAACTCGAAAACCTTGACACCTAATCCGGAGCTTCTGTAGCCACCTAATGTAAAAGCCTTAATAATTAGGGTTTTGGGGTATGTTATGCTAAAACTATAATAAGGAACCATCCAAAATATTATAGACAATTATTCAGGCCCCTATACTACTGGGAAAAAAGAAAAAGAACTCTCTGAATCTCTTGCTTGGTTGCTTGGTCAAATGTTTGCGGGGTCCACATTGACGAGTTTCATTTACCATACCGTAGTACGCAAACCGTGCTACTCGCTGTATGACCTCCAACAGCAACTTGAATGTCACTTCGTAACTTCCCTAGCAAGAAAGCTGCTTTAGGGTAATTTAAACCCCGCAAAATAACAGCTGCAAAACTATAGAATCGTAAAGAAGCATGTCAAGGTTTACAGGGCACATGCCAATGAATCTGCATCGCCATCGCCGAGGCGACCAGTTCCGCCTACCTTGGCCTACATGAAGCAAACTTAGTCAACCCTAAACCCCCTAAAAGCCAAACGATGAACCCAGCAAACCTAAGATACCCAAAAAGAACCTAAACCCTGAACCCTAGACCCTAAACCCTAAGCCCTAAACCCTTAAACCCTAAACCCTACCCTGAGCCCTAGGTCTCAAACCCTTACCGAGTTATAGGTGCTATGTCTACAGACTTGG